GCCGGTTCAACAAACCCCAGCCAGTGACTCCACCCTATTTTCCTCTCTGCCCTCCACAGTGACTGTCCTCTGTGGATGAACGGGGCAAATGAGTCCATAAGCTAGAAGCTGAATTTCCCTCAGATTTCTGTTTAATACTAGAAAAGTGTTTGCTTTGAAATACTTGCAGAGCAGATCAAGGGGAAAAGTGACACACTCCACATGACATATATCCCACAGTTTTTCCATGATCATACAGACAGCAATTTAATTTGCCTCCTCATTTTCAGGTAAAAAGGATTTGCTACTTAGCTCCAAGTCTTCTTTCTATGAACCAAATGTTCATTTAAGGGTAGTTCAGTTTCTTTCCTGGCAGCTTTTTATTAACAGAATTTTTCACATGAATAATCATGGAGGATAAAGTTAAAATACAGTTAGTAATGCCTTTTAATTAAAATGTGATGCAAACATAAATTGTCAGTTTGTTATATTAGAATCTCAGTTTTCTATCTTTAGAAACCTTCAGTAACTTCTCATATTTAGGAAAAATAAGTGAAAACTTTGAAAATATTTCATATAATCCTTGAACTTTGCATTGCCTCAGTTGAGTGGGCCAGTTCTCTGGATCATGCCTTTTTCAGCAAATATTGGCTTTAGTTTCTGCTTCTCATTGGCATGCCCAACCCAGGCTTTCATGGTGATCCAAAAAAAGGAGAACAGAAGTAATGCTACAATCATACTCTTTGGATAATAGCTGCAGCGCTTAAGTTGGGTTATGGACTGGTGAGAAGAAGCAACACATACTAAGTTCTCAATTTGTTTGGTTAAGAATGTAGGAATACAAGTTAAGAACACTAGGAAGTGAGGTGGTCAGCCAAGCACTAGTAGAGGCAGCATATATTCTGGGCATGTCTTTGTCCCCTTCATTCCTTAAGGGAACGCACACCTGCTGGTGACACTTGCTATGCAAGTAGAATCCTGCCAAAATTGAGAAGACAGCTAAATCCTTCTCTATCAACAAGTGTTTTATACTTAGAGCTTGCATCACCATTCTGGAAGGACTTACACTAACAGCCCAAATACTTCCATTTAAGGCAATGTTGATCAACATGGGTCACTCCAGGTTCCTGAACAAAACTCAGCCTCCGTGGACTACATCTTCATCTGGGGCAGGGGAAGGGAGAAATCAGAGGGTGCCCACCTGTGTCTCCTGTCTCTGCCACCAGCTGTCCAGTGTCACAGACTCATTTCC